TAATAGCAAGAACCTACCTCCTTCCCATTTCCAAACTTTATAGTGCAAGGACAACAAACCAAATTGCTCTGGGTTTAAAAGGAAAGCGCTGGTCCTGGCAGGCTAATCACAGGCCAGACTCGAACCAAAGGGCTTTAAGATCAAAAAGCAAGTAATAAAAAGCAGCTTGAATGCAAAACAGTTTGGATTGAAACAAGAGACTTCCGCTAAGTGCCCAGTGCAGTAATAAAGGGATAGCCCTGAGGTGCAGGGACACGTTACAGTGGCAGTTGTGTGTTTGCAGCTCTGTCCCTGCAGCCCACATACAGCTCAATGAGGTGAGGGCTCTCCATCTGCAGCAGGAAGCAAACCCTGGCTATCATGCTTAAAGCAGCTCTGCAGCCTATTTACTCCCTGAGAAAACAGACTTGCCCTAAAGCAACATCTACTTTTGATTTTAGCCTGGTGACAAAGGTCCCAGTCATGAATTAGATAACCAGCCCATAAGGAAACTCAACCAGCAGCTCCCTCCTTCCCCCAAACCAGCTGACACTGAGACAACTGCTATTCCAATTCTGATGGGCAAGCACAGCTCACCCTTTTGGGGGTGGATTAAGCAAAACAGTCCTAGACTTGCCTGCAAGGAGCCTTTTCCTCTGAGTCTGAACAGCACAGACCCTCGTGAAAGTCTCAGTTGTTGAAAAACACATTTTTATTTTGAAAATTAGCTGCATTCAGAGCTGAAACTCCTAATTTATAGCCACAGAAGCGAGTTACTACAATCTTCCCACCAGGTCATCTGGTACCTTCAGTGACTCATCGTAGCAAATTCGGTGTCAGGATTATTTAACAGACCTCAAGAGAGACTGACTGACCTACTGAATGGTAGGCAAAGTCCCTTCCCACCTACTATGGCCAGCTGCCATTCATATAATAGCCTTGAAATACAGTTGCTACAGCTCCAAAAACATTCCTTGGCCTTGACTCCAAAACAGCAAATGCAACAAGCCTATGACTTCATGAAAGATTTGAGTTCATGTTAATGCAAAGCTTTTTTGATTATGAAGTTACCAGGGAAATCATATGCAGATGAAATTCCTCCAGTAAAAACAAGTTCTCATCTTTGTTGTCACATGATGTATTAGCAGGGCCTACAGATAGTGTGAATATTTGCAAGAAACGATTTCCCAAGGACAGTCTGTTGTGTTGCACACCAGAACACGAGTTCCAAAGCCACTTAAGCCTGTTCCTGGTCACCTCTGCATGCAGTCCCCAACATGGATCTGCCCCGAGGAATGTGCCAAGCTGTGTTCAGTTCTGGGCCCCTCAGTTCCGGAAGGATATTGAGGTGCTGGAGCAGGTCCAGGGAAGAGCAACGAGGCTGGTGAAGGGACTCGAGCACAAGTGCCATGAGGAGAGGCTGAGGGAGTTGGGATTGTTCAGCCTGGAGAAGAGGAGGCTCAGGGGAGACCTTATCACCCTCTACAACTCCCTGACAGGAGGTTGGACTCAGGTGGGGGTTGATCTCTTCCCCAGGCAACCAGCAGCAGGACAAGAGGGCACAGACTCAAGCTCTGCCAGGGGAGGTTTAGGTTAGATATTAGGAAGAGATTTTTTTTTAATGCAGAGGCATTGGAATGTGCTGCCTGGGGAGGTGGTGGATTCACCATCCCTGGAGGTTTTCAAGATGAGACTGGATGTGGCACTTAGTGCCATGGTCTAGTAACCACAGTAGGGTTGGACTTGAGGATCTTGAAGGTCTTTTCCAGTTGATTCTATGATGCCTTACATTAAAATGTTTTTAGTATTTTGAGCTGTTAAAAGGAGTTTTCTTTTTTCATCATGACTTACAAAAAAATAAAATCCCACTTTAGTGTTTTTATACAGTATAGAGTTCCTTGTGCCTTTCAAGAATGAGTTTTCCAATAAAGTCTGCAGGACTCAGATTTACATCCTCACCCACTGACAGTTTAATTACTTTCATTGTAGGAGAAAGTATTTAATCACATACAGTCAGAAAAACAGCCCCTTAAACACAGGCTTTTGGGCCCATGATCCCCCATTTGAAATTCAATGAAGGAGAATGAAACATGCACACTGTGATCCATTTCCTGATGCAGAACACTTGATATTATCAAAACATACAGAGTTCCACAGCTGACACACACATTTTTCTAAACCATTGGTAAAATCCTTCCAGCATTTTAAGCCCATGAAATGAGGGTTCAGTGTGCTCTGGATATGATCTAAAGGCAGTGCTAGTCAACCAGCCATACAAAGACCAACATCATAATGCTGTGCTAATTAACATAGTAAAAATAGTCCATCTACAATGGTGCTTGAATTACAGGGGTATTTAACTTTGTTCTCAACAGTTACAGCGTTAAAGGTAAGTCATCACTGTGGTTCTCAGCAATACATAGGCATTAATGGCTCCTTATAGAAAAAGAGGGGAGTGGGGGAAAGACTCGGACACTCGTCTTGGCAATGCAGCAGAACTAAGTCTGGTGAAGTCACAGAATACAGTTGTGAATGTCAACAGTTGTACATTGAAGCTGACAACCAGCACAAGTTGGGCCTTCTGCTCCAAGTGCTAACTCAGCCAGACAAGGCAGGGAGCAAAGCCAGAAATGCACCTTTTAGTCCTAGTCAGTTATACTTGTCCTGGCCTTTACCCTGCAATCCTGATCGAGCCTGTAAGCAGCAGCAACTCACATGCAGTTAAGGGCCAGTATCAATAATCAGCATATTAGAAACCTTCGTTTCAAAATGAACAGGTTGTGTCACAGCTGAGAGTGAAATTGAAGCTGGGCCGAGCTGGGGCCTAGCACACGCCGACGCTCATTCTCAAACACAGACACAGCCAAGGAGGGCAGTAGGTATATATTTTATAAAAGAGCAATGCCTTGTGTAGGACATCACAGGAGTGGAGAACAGCCAGAACACTACAAAAAACCGCGGGAACAAGAGTGACTAGTTGTGCGTTCACTTTATGGAGCTTACATTGAGGTTTACAGAGGGCAGCACTCAGGGACGACTCTCCACTAACAAACAAATCTGGAATACATCAATTGTACAGGTAAGTCAGCCAAAAATAAGCAGTAGCTATGCTCTTCTCAGGTTTAAGAAAGCATGCAATAGGTTTCCCCCTCCTGCCACCCCTTGCTCAGGTTTCTAAATCACAGTACCAGCAAAAGCAGGGTATGAGGAAACTGGGTGGGTTGGGTTTATCACAGACTCTTTATCAATACCCTGCTCATGGAAAAGCAGCTTTCTTCCAGCACCAGGAAGGCAGAGACGATACAAGCATGAATAAAAAAATAGTTAAGCAATTTTAAGACATCAAAAGTTCAAGAAATAGCACTGTGCATATACAAATAAATCAACATTCAAGTACTGCAGAGCTCATTTAAAAATGGCACCAATGGACAATGTGTTACAATATGCACATTTATTTGAGGTGGGGAACTGATGCTCCACAGGTGAAAATGAGAACACAAATAGTTGTGCCACTGTTGGCCCATTCTGGTACTTCTTACAGTTTAATGGAAACACTTTTAAAAATAATCTGGTATGTACAAGTCTTCTGGATATACCCAAATGGCTTCTTCAGAACAGGAAACACTCTGGTTCCCCCTCTCCCCTTTTTTTAGCCAGACAGTATTGCCAGAGGTTGTGCTCACTTTTAAAGCACATCATCCTACTTTAAATTCAGTGCTATTTTCTTTCAGAAAGATCACAAGTTGTACTTTTAGGTAACAAAAGCATTTATGTTACAAACATTCAAAAATGGAAGCTTATGGTTCTGGCAGACAAATGTTGCGTATTAAATACAAACCAGCCAGCAATTACTGAACATAAAAAACTTATTCAATCATAAAAAAATACTATAATTCATCACCACAGACTTTGTACATAGTTATAAATAATAAATAGCATAACACAGTAGATTACAAACGGATTTATTTTGCCCCGTTATAGTCTTTAAAAAGTAAAATATCTATTCCTACCTCAGACTGACCAAGGTATGGTATCAAGACTACTCAAAGCTCAAATGTAGCTCCTTGGCCAAGCAATTTGCAGAGCTCAAATCCAACCCAAAGTCTTTCCTTAGGAATCGAACGTTGGCTGAGCTGTTTGCCCTGCTCATGACCAACTAAGGTACAAACTCTGCCCAGAGCAGCTGCAAAGGGTGTGTGTCACCTTAGCTGCCACTTCCCACAGAGCTGGGCCTGCCACAGCACCTCACGTGGAGCACACACACCTG